GGCTTGTTCTTTCTTTGGTGGCTTCCCACCCTTTCCGTGGCCCAAGAAAGCCCCAAAGGAGATTCAAGGGGAGCCGCTGTCATCTTCAGACGCAGAACAGGAGAGCGGATGCCTCCGAGGGCTCTGGACCAGGCCGGCAGGGAGATCGCGCGTGCGTGCCGGGAGCCGAGAGATGGGGTGACTCAGCACAGCGCTTCCGCCAGCTGTAATTCCTGGGCTCGTTAAAATCAGCTGTGACAGAAGCTTAATTTTATTGCTACTTTCCTGAATAACGTCCCCCGGTTCGAGCCGCTTAGGGAGATTTGTTGCTTGCTTTGCTTTCCCGGAGCCGGCACCTGAGCTGAATTTGTGAACGCGAGCCGGGGAGGCAACTTCTCCAGCTGGGCTGCTGTTAGATCCTGGCATGGATGAAATGCCCGGGGTAGAGCCCACAAATCTCCCTGCACCTCTGCAAACCAGCCCGGGGGGTTGGGAAGGAGCCCCCTCCGCCGTGGAGCCCTGGCTCTTCTGCACGCGCATCTCTAGCACTGCGGCAGCTGCCACGGAGAGCAAAAGAAATGCGCCCGCAGGGACACGGCCCCGCGAGCCCTCGGGCAGTGGGGAATGGGAGAGCATCTTTGATCTCCTCCATTTATCCGGGGGGAATCTCACAGGCGTCCTGGTCTGGAGGGTGACCCTCTCCCCTGCTCCACTTCAAACAGGCTCAGCCTACCAGGCTGCTTTTCCAGCAGCTTCCCCAAAACCCACCTCTGTGCCCTCCTGCTTGCCCGTCGCTGCCAGCTGTGGACATTTTGCATGGCAGGTCCAACCCAGGCTGGCACGGACGTAACCTGTTGGACCGAGGTGCTCGTCCCAGGGGGCTGATACACAAGAAGGCAAGGGGCACTTTTGCATAAGCAAAGGTGTGCCAAGGATCCCTCATAGAGCAGAGTATCGCAGCGTCTCTCGGAGGGGGGGCAGACGAAACGACACCCCGGGGCCTCCAGCTCTCAGCGAGCCCGTTCTGCAAGAGGATGAGGGGGTTTTATCCTCATCCTAAACGTTATGCATCACAGGGCCCGAGGCCCCGGGGAGCTGACGTGAGCTGAAACTGCTGGAAGGAGAAGGTGGGCTAGGGATGGGGCCAGCTGGGAAAGACAGAAGTGGGAGGAGAGCAAGGGGCACGTTGCTCAGATACTTTTGGCACTGTTATATGGGAAATGACGCTGCCTGAGAGGTCTGGAGGCAGCGGGAACTGGGGATAGGGCGAGCTCCTGCATAGCAGAGGCATGGCTCGGAGGTGGCATCCAAGCTGGCGATGAGAATACAGGCCCCCAGGTGGGGTCGGGGTGGGGGAGCAGTCCCCACGGGCCCAGGGGATGCTACCTCGCCGAGCCAGGGTCGGGGGCAGGCGCTCGCTGGCAGTAACCGCCTTGTTCCCTGTTGCTGTGTTTCAGTTCCTCGCCTTCGGGACCCTTCGTGGAGAAGGAATGTGAGATCTATCGAGATTACAACGCGGAAGGCCAGCTCCTCCACTACAGGTAGCCGGGACTCACCTTCTCGTACGGGGCTGGGCCTGGGGGAGATGCCAGCCCTGCCGGGGACACTCTCTGCCAGTGCGAGGTGGGCACTGGATCTTCCCACCCCAAGGGACCATGCATGCCCAGGGGCAGATCCGGGGGGGCAGTGATGCCATCTCACCCCCCTCTTTGATTCCTGCTTCACCCTCACTTTAAAGCCAACTGCCTGGGAGGGGCAGCAACATCAGTCAGCACCGAGGGAGTCACAGCTGACTTCCTCTCCCAGCTTCCTGCTAATCTCTCTCCACTCTGCAGGTGTTAACCACCCTCTCTCCTTTTTAATGGCCTCGAGGTGCCACTATTCAAGCAACCCTTTCTTCTGCAATGTTGCTGCCTCTTGGCCATTCCCGGAAACGTCTTTTCTATTTCACAGCCCCACTGACTGTTTTGAGCTCTAGCTAAAAACCTGAGCTCAGGTGTGGTCCTATGAACTCAGGTGTAGACATGGCTGGCAGTGAAGTATCGGAGGCACTGTCAGGAAGGCTAGATTTTGTTTTACGAAACTGAGTCAGAGGCCTACATTTAACTACAGGGCTCGTGACAACCTTGTTGGACTATTTTTTTGGCTAGTTTCTTGGGTTTTTAAAACTTACTCTATTATCCAGTAAATTAATGCACATTCCAATTGTTATACTGGTTTTTGCTTTGATCTTACACCAAAAAATGCAGGGCTCTAGTCCCCCTCATGTATTAGTATTAGCACTGCCCTAGGCCCAGAGCTCCCAAATTTCCCATCCCACAGCTCCTGCAGCCCCCCGCTGTCTTCGAGGACTCCAAAGCCACCTCCTCCACGGAGGCTGTCATAGGTCTCTTCACCAGAGAGAGGAGCTATTCCATGGGCATTTTAGCAGCAATCAAAGCCTCACGTCAGGCCGGAGGCTGTCTGCTCGGCCAGCTGTTTTCAGTGCCATTCCCTTGTTGCTTGGACCCTTCCCAGCTGCCCCCGTCCAGGGGTTGCATCACGAATCCCCAGTGCTGCTTAGTGCTCATTTGTGCTACAGTCGCTAAAGGGAACGCCACGTCCTCACTTTCAGCTTGCGGGGGCCAAGCCCAGCCAAATTAACGGCATCCCTACGGGCGGCAGGAACAGGGACCCGTCATCTCTGCAGCCATGCGGGCACCAGCAGCTGGGAGCTGCACCCATCACTGCTGCTTGCCCCGGGGCCGTCAGCAAACCCGCCACTTGCTTGTACCTGGGAGGAACAGCCTTGGCCCCGAACACCCGTGTTCCCTGGCTCCTCGCTGAGATGCTTCTCCTCCCTGGAAGCCATGTTGTGCATTCACTCTGTCGCAGCAGGAAGTTGGACTAGTTTTGGGCCTCAGCCGGTCTCGAACAGCAGGGGAGAGGAAACCTGAATAGGGAGAAGGGGCTCCATGCAGCAGGGTTTGCATTCACCTCTGGCTGCAGCAGCCGGGGGCCTCAGGACAGTGCCCAGGTTGGGCCACATACAGATGCACCCAGCAACTGCAGGCTCCTGAAGGCAGCAGGCGGGCCTCCCGCAAGGGATGGGGGGCTGCGTGCAAAGCCAAAGCAGCTGTTGCCAGAGTGCTCACATGCGTGTGTGTGCGTGTGTCTATGCATGCATGTGTGTGTGCGCGTGTGCATTCATGTGTATGTGGGTGTGCATCTGTGGGTCTGCATGTGTGTGTATGTGCATGCCTGTGTGTGTTTGTGTGTGTGTGTGTGTGCGCCCATGTCTGTGGATATGCATGCATATGTGTATATGTGTGCACATGCATGTGTGCACGTGTCCATGTGTGCGATGTGTGCCCATGATGTGTGTATGTGTGTGTGCATGCATATGTGTGTGTGTGTTTGTGCCCATGTGTATGTGGGTATGTGTGCATATGTGTGTGTGTGTGTGCATGTGTGTGTACGTGCATGCATGTGTGTATGTGTGTGTGCATTTGTGCTTGTGTTCATCTGTGTGATGTGTGCCCATGTGTATGTGCATGCATGTGTGCTGGTGTCCATGTGCATGTGTGCATGTGTACATGTGTGCTTGTCTCCATATGTGTGACGTGTGCCCATGTGTATGTGGATATGCATGGATGTATGCATGTGTGTTTGTGCCCGTGTGTCAGCATGTGTACATGTGCTTGTATGTGCATGCATGTGTGTTTGTATCTGTGTATGTATGTTTGTGTGCATGCATATGTGCCCACATGTATGTGGGTGTGCGTGCATGTGTGTGTGTGGGGAGGGGAAATCTGTCCCCAGGAGGCACGTGTCCCCCTGCCTCGTGGGCTCCCCTAGCCCATCCAGCAGACGTTGGCAGTGGCTTCGTCCTTGCAGAGAGCTCTATTGACCGCTGCCGGCATCCCAGCAGGCCCCGCGAGGGCCGTGTGGCCGTGGTGACCCTGCCACAAGGCCAGAGAGAGGAGAGCCTGCCAGAGCGCTACAGCTCCGTCTCAGCCATGTGCCCTGCGGTCTGACTGGTGGCAGGGCAGGGGCAGGAGCGTGGCCTGGGCCAGAGTTGCACAGACCCCTTATCCTGCAGCATGAAACGATGCTCTGCTCGCCTGCTCTAGGAAACACGGCCGAGGCCGGCAGACCCTGGAGCAAGTGTAGACGCAAGCCAGTGCCTTCCGAGGCTGATTCCCGGTGGACACCGACCTCTAGGGCACGTGTCCGGGGCTTTGCATACAGGGCTCTTGGAGCAAAGCTCAGACCAGAGCATACTGGGACTCCTGGGATTTGTCCACACCATGCATCTGCGTGTCCTGCATCGCAGCCTCCCTGCTGCACTGCCGTGTTCATCAAATCGCAGAGCCATGGGGCTGGAAGGGACCCCCAGAGGTCACATCTAGTCCAACCCCTGCCTGAGGCAGGATCAGCCCTGTCCAAATTATTCAATCCATCATCTAAACTCTTTGTAAAACTACCATAAACCATGACACAACGTTAGACATTGCACCCAGACATTGCACCCGACATTGCACCCGAACCTGCCCAAGGGAAAGCAGGGGGACCACAGCCGCCAGCGTCTGGCTTCCATGAAACGTTGTCAACGTGCACACAAGAGATCCCAAGCAGAGGTTGTGCCCCCGCTGCAGAGGAAGGCACCCCCCACCCCAAGTCCATACCAACTGGACCAGGGGGGAAATTCCTTCCTGCCCCAGTGCAGCGTTGGCGCAGGGGCAAGACCCTCCAGCCAGGACCCTGTGGGGTTGGTGCCAGCAGGAGCATTGGCACAGCCAAGCCCCATCCCTAACACCCAGCACCTCTGGGGGAGGCTTCAAGCCCCCTGGCACATGGAGCAGTAGTTGTAGGTGGGGGGGAACGGCACAGCCCAGACGCTGGGAAATCCCCATATCGGAGCACGGGTATCGCTGCACCTAGATCCTCCGCGCCCAGCGTCCGTCCACCCTCTTCTTGACACCTCCAGTGATGGGGAGCCCCCCCTTCCCTGGCGTCTCTCCCACGGTCTCCCTGCTCTGACAGTGAAGAAGTGTTTCCTTATCTCCAACTAAACCTGCTTTGCTGCAACTTCCAGCCATGGCTCCGCGTCCTCCTCTCTGCAGCAGGAGACAAGGCGCTTTCCCTCTGGCAGCCGTTCGGGTACTGAAGGGGTGTGGGGAGCGTGTGAGTGGCGGTGCCTGGGCCGTGCGTGCCTGAGGGCGTTCCAGCTGCCCTACACTGCTGCCAGAGTGTGGATGTGCCCATCCAGTTGTGCCCAGCCCCGGTGCTTGGGGAGGCCCCAGCGACCCCCTGTCCAAGGCAGTCCTGGGGGATGGAGCTGGGCTCCGGGCCGTGGCTGCGATCTTGGCAGCATCCTGGTCACTCCAGAAGGAAGGTGCTGTTGATGCACTGACTCAGCTGCTGACGCCTGCTCCCCCCGCAGCCGGCGCCACTCCGGACAGCTCCGCACGCGTGAACAGACGGCGTCAGGACAAGGTCAAGGTGCCCGTGGCTTGCTGCTCAGCACAGGAAGGCCAGAAAGGGAATGCAGGTCCAGTGCATGGGGCTGTACATCCCAGTCAGCGGGACGCAGGATTTTTCACTGACCTGCTGGCAGAGCCAAGGTTAAAGCGGAAGTGGCCATGCAGGCAGACAGGTCTCCCCTGACAGATGCTTTTGCTCGTGCAGACCCAGCAAGCAGGACGGTGTTGGCCGCCTGCCCCGTTGCAGTCCCACTGGCAGCGCACAGAGCTGTACGTGGCCACGCTGACTGGTCGGCTCCTGCACCCGGGGCTCAAGTCCAGCCTCTCGCAAGACAGCTGAGCCTGGAGCAGCAGTCGCAGGGTGGGAGCTGCTGGCGGCACCGCCGGTGGCTGCAGAAGTGAAGGGGAGCGAGTTCGCCAATCTCAGTCCCTTCACCCTTTCCCTGTCACCGGGGGTTCAGATGCACCAGCTGCTTTGAATGTTCCCCCCATTTATTTCAGACCTGCGTCATACCCCCAGGGGCAGGGCTAGGCCGTGAGGTCGTGTCTCCAGGCTGTCGCGGATGGGCTTCCTGGAAGCAGCCAGCAACCTTGGATCATTTCTGGTCTCACCTGTATCTCACTGGCACAGGGAGCCTTAGTCATAGCCTCTCTCCCTCTGCAAATCCTGCATAAATAATGCCTTGCCCAATGCCTTGCCTCGCCTCATGGAGATAGGAGGGATAGGGACAGACAGCCCCTGAAGTTTTGCAGCTTGGGGATGCTCCTGTAGAAGAAGCCATGGCTTTTGCAAGTTTGGCGAAGTTCATCCCAACTCATAGACTCGTATTGCCGTGGGGCTGGAGGGGACCTGCGGGCATCACATCTAGTCCAGCCCCTGCCTGAAGCAGGCTCAGGTCTGTCCAAAGCAGCCCAGACCAACCATCGTCTAAACTCTTCCTAAAACTACCATCAGCCCTGACACAACACAAGACATGACATCTGACCCTGCCATAAGTGAAGCCAGGGGACCATGGCAGCCAACATCCTGCTGCAGCAAGGGGTGTTAATATATGCTTGAGAGATCCCAGGCCATG